TAATCCCTAAAATGCTGAAAAAGTTTATTCATTTAAAATATATAAAGCATCGCCCTCTGCACCTTTAAGAAAAAGCTAAAGACCCAGCTATTTCATGAATACCTATGACCTTAATGTTGATGATGACGATGGTCTCGATATTATTAATGATGATGATGGTAAAGACGATGGTTTTTGTTTGATAACTACGACTTATAAGATGGTTTCTATACTGATTAGAGCTCTCAAGAACTGCCGTCAGTGTTGTGCTTTGCCTCTGGTCACTTCCTGTCAGCACCTGTGTGTCCAATCGGACTCAAAGCTGATCATTTTCACTTACTGACATTGTTCCCTTTTTTCTAGACCCTTGCTTGTGTTGTACTTACTCTCTGATGTACGTCGCTTTGGATAAAAGTTTCTGCTAAGTGAATTGTAGAATTGTAGAATCATTACCTCTGGCAGTGAAATGTAATGGTGATACCCGACTATTGTTGAGTTTAAAGAACCTATACCAATAGTGATTTAATAAAGAATAATTTATTTGATTATCCAAAGATGGAGCGCCAGTGGCCTAATGGTGAGTTCTTGGGCCCCCATGAAGCTGCGGCCTGGGTTTGGGACCGACCAGTGGCACCTGATGTCATTCCCCTCTCTCTCTCTCTCTCTCTCTCTCTCTCTCTCTCTCTCTCTCTCTCTCTCTCTCTCTCTCTCTCTCTCTCTCTCTCTCTCTCTCTCTCCATGATTTCCGACTCTATTAACTGTCCCTTCTCTATGAAAGGCATACAAAATAGAAATAAATCTATAGAAAAGCAAAGGTACTGTGCAGGCCACTAACTCATAAATTATGATATATTTTCAAATATTTAAGCGCAGATACCTGCCTATATCTGTTGCATTAGCTCGAGTGAGAATATTGCGGCGTTTTCCCCAAAGCAACACATGACCTGTTACTCAGGAGGGAAATCATCATGAAATAAGTTGGTGGAGTTTCATCACTTTAAATCTTAGTCATGCTAAACTTAACAACACATACGCACGCACGCACGCACACACGCACGCACTGTAATCACTGAATCAGAATCATTAGAATCATCATTTGTGATCCAACTTCTAAACTCAGAGTCATTCAGCAAGAAGCTCAAAATGCAACAGAAAAAAAAAGCTAATTTAATCACAGCCACAGCTTGCTGAACATTAAGCACGTTTTATCATGAAGTATAGAGTCATGTGTTGCTTGGCTGCTGGCTGTATCTGAAATGTGTTTGTGAGATTCTTCTGTTGTCATAATTAGGAATGAAAGACCATCAGGGCTCTGGTAGCAGGTTGTGCTGTGTGGAGGACAGAGGGTTGAAAATCTGGCCGCTACAAATTGATCCATGATTGAAGCTTAATTAACACAGAAAGCCTGTAAAAACCTGTTACAGTGTTTCTGGTGCCCAGCTAAGCTAGTGAGCTAATCTAATGGATACTTAGCAAAAGAATCATCCGTATATTAGCACGATTGTTAAGTAACCAACAGAGAATGTAGTTGTGATTTATTTGTGTGATTCATGCCTCAGTATGTTGTCTTTTCAGTGCAATGAACATCCCCTCTGTGTTTCCCTTTTTTACCCTCTGAGTTACTGTCACCGAAACTGTGTCTTTTTGTTCCTCATCTAAATACATTTTAAATGAGCTGCCTGTGGCTTTAGTAAAAATTTCATGTTATTTTTTTACATCTACAGCGGCAGAGTTTCATCAGAATAACAGTGCGTGTGTTTCAAGGCTCACTGTCGTGCCTCCTGCCCGGCTCTGAGTCGCGTCTGGCAGTGCTGTGTTGTGCTGGGCAGGGCAGGGCTTGGCACTGTGCACAGGGGGACAGATGGTCTTACATGTGATCTAGTTGGAGGTCCAGAGTCGTACTACCCCAGCAGGGACCCTGGCAGCTGACAAGCCTGGCCCCGACATCGGCGGTCCCTGGGTGGGACTCGGGCACTGACTTCAACAGGACGGGCCACCCAGGTGTTAACCAGACAGGCTGACTCTCTCTCTCTCTCTCTCTCTTCCAGCTGTTTCACCTTTGCTGCTGCCAACATCACACACAGGAAAATGCTCACACACAACACTAAACAGATACCTATCATAATAAAACCTTAACGCCAGGAATAATTCTCCTCCATTTGCACCAGTTGAGTGATCCAACAAGGCAGCTTTATTACAATAGCAGCATGTAGGAGATACTTCCACATGAAATATAACAGCCGACAGATATTTTCAGACACTTTGAGCCCAGAGCTTCGAGTCAGCTCAGGATACTGTTAATGTGTGTGTGGGCGGTTGTACCAAATAAGCTTTTTTAATGTGTCTTCTATAATGTGTGCTAACGTATCGGACAGATAAATGCGATGGATAGAGACAGGCTGCAGCCAAACTGCAGCGATGCCTCGTTTATCGCCGCTTGTGTTATTCATGATGTCGCTGTTGATGAAGTTATCACAGCAACACCCCAATCCCGATCCAAGCCAGTGCGACCTCTCCACGGCTTACGGCACCAGGAGAAATTCATCAAGTCATCATAGATCAAGTCACGCTGTCGTGGATGGCATTGAAAAAGAAGCAAGGGCGAGCCACCGAGTGCTGGATTCTGTGGCTGAAAAATGCATTTATTTTAGCCAACCTCCGCGACTCTGGGCTGGCCGGGCTGATGCACTCCACGGTTAGTCAGCACTCCACCCGCTTTGCCAGCTCAGCTTTTATTCCCTGCCCTGGAAATTGAGTTTTGCTGGCCCTGTAATGTACTCAAAACTACATCTGCAACTGACTGATAAATCTACGCTTTGTTGCGCCTGACGGATGGCTGTGAAAATGAAAATTCACCACGGCATGTTGCTGTGTCAGGAAGAAGGTCACTTTAAATTTTCCCCCTCTCACTGAGGAACCTCTGCTCGGGGGGTGGGGGGGGAGCCAAAATGACCGTTTTGTCTGAGGTTTCAGTCGTAAAGCTTCAATATTTTCTAAGGGTGTTTGGCTCAATGAGAAGCAGGTTCCTGGTTTGTTTCGTTCCACCGCTGTGTCTCCGGGCTGCCTGCCTGAAAAAGCACCGCTCTCCTTACAATGTGACAACAATATCTATTATTTGCTGAAGGAGAAATGCTTTATATCAACAGAGCGGGTAATTTTGTACATGTGTGTCCTTACATACAGAGGGGTGCAGCTCAGCCGGCTTGATAAATACCATAAGATGACAGATCTTTATAGCAGAACAGCAGTCAGGGTTCTGACACTCCAAAGACCAATTTCAGCCTGTTAACAAGGCCTGCAGCAGGAATACCTCACAGCAAAATGTCATAAGACCCCCCTTTCCACACCTCCTTACTCTCTCTCTCTCTCCTGCCTGCTCCCTCCCTCGCCTCTCCCGTGGACATTCAATGAATTGTAGTTCCTCTCTTTCAATTTGCCGGCCATGTTACCTCGTTCCACAATGTGCAGCCCCCTGGGGGATCGTGGGGAGGCAGGAGCAACGGCCCCGGCCAGGTCCGCAGAGAGCTGATAACCTTTCAGTGTTGCTTTAGCACACTGTGTAAAGAACAATCAGTGCTTATCAGCATCGACTACAGGTGCATGCTAATTCAATGTCACGCAGTCAGACTGCAGAGGACTAGAACTAGAGCGTCGCTGGATTTGACTCTGACAGCTTCATGTTTCCAGCAGACTTCTTGATGTTGTACTAATCTGTAATCCCCTCCCTCTTATCTATGTTGGAATATAAATAAATTAAAATATTATTAAAATGTTGTGCAAATTAATTCCAAATTCAAAAAAAGTTATTTCTTAAATCTCATTTAGATTTGTTGTCCTTGGCCGACAACTTTCACGGTTTACTTTGCCCCAAGTTACGCTACATTGTTGAAAATGTTAACTTCACCGATAGAAACAAAACAATGTGGCTGGAAAAAAGCCAACTGTAGCACAATAAGTGTGCAAATTAATAAAAATATATATCTACCAAACACTGTAAATGCACTTCTCCTTGAGGATCGTGCGAGGGCTGGAACAAATCCCATACTGGTGTATGGAACAGATTTGTAGTTCGTCCCCTGTGACACCTGACATACTCTTTACAGACTCACATCTAAACCTATAAAACAGCATTACTAGTTTGGACGACTCTAATGTCTTCATTTTACAAACTACTTGGGATTATTTTGTTTGACATCTCACTCCCTCTCTCTTCCCAAGCTTCACGTCATGACATCATCATGTGTCCACATATTCAATGCATTCTCAATTTCAGAACGACTCTTCCTTTGCAAAGACTCAACATTTTCTCTGATGTCTTGATTGTTTTCTTTAAGAGAAATTCTTCAGAACTTGGTAAATGTTGCAGCCAGGGCTGTAAACCCGGTGTTCTTGTCTTTCCTGCCACATTCTGCAGCTACATCCACTGCTTTAAGAGATGCCAAAGATTCTTGTTATATAGCCAATGTGTCCTTCATGGTGAACAACCAGACTTGTTGAAAACATTTGAAGCTCTCTAAGGGAAACTATGTTGGGTTTAACCCAGGAACAAATGTGAGGAAAGAATAAAAGTGTACATAAAGAGCAGAAATCCAACACTATTCTGTTGTTTAATGGTACAAATTACTCCATACCTACAAATTCTTGTCTTACATACTGAGAGAAAAAACCTTTTAGTTGGAATATTCTGAGTAACAAAATGTCAGAAGGAGATCTTTTCATTCAGCCACAGTGAAAGCTAGCATTAGCGGGAGAGTAATTTATGGACTGCCAGCTGGTCTGTAAAGGTTACTACCACAGGCGATCCAGACATGGAAGTTCAACGAGGAGCTCATTAAAAAACTACAGGCTTGTAGACACATCAACATACAAAGATGTTTTCTTGTCTGGTGAGCATAATAAGGACAGTTTAGTTGTTTGTTCCAGAAAAAGTTGACATTTTGAAGCCTCTCTCTCTGACTCTGTGAATCCATCTGTCTAATTTGCCTTTCTGCCCTCTCGTCTTTTTTTTTGCCCTCCCCCAGCGAGGATCGTGAGGAGCCGTCAGTGGTGTGAGATGGCGCCCTGCCTGGAAGGGGAGGTCTGCAGCCTCCTGTTCAACCGCTCCGGATGGACCTGCACCAAGGGCAGCGGTCGCATCAAGACCGTCACGGTAAGTTACAAAATATGATTTTAAAATGCTCTATATGCACTTAACAGAATGGAGCATTTTTTTCAGCATCTGTCACCCTAGAAGCTTATGTGGAACTACAGCCCGGGGCAGGAGGCTGCACACTTCAGTTAAACAGCAGGTCAGCTCCCGGGTTTCAAAGGCTGCATCGATGCTGAATCACAAAGGCTGGCAAACTTTTGCTGACCTGCTCTCTGTGCTCACTCCAATTATTGTCGTTTTTAAACCACCTGGAATATTGCTCTGATGTTTTTTTTGCAGACAAAGCAGCTAGATTAGCTCTACACTACAAATATTACATTAACATTGTATACTGAGCCATCTCCAGCAAACTCTTATTTCTTCATGAAGCAGCTCAAATAAACCAATGAGAAACATCTTACTACTCATACAATTTCTAAAAATATTACTTATGCTACCAACCAGACTTTATGATTTATGTGTTTTGCATCATCTTCTGAGCCAAATATGCTAACACAGGAAAGATGATGTTGACCCCTGTGCTACAGAGGTCAAGGATAGATGGTATATTTCACTGCCGTCTAGTATACCATCTATTTTTTTGGGCGGCTTTTTCGTGCCTTTATTGTAGAAAAAGGACAGCGGATAGAGTCGGAAATCAGGGAAAGAGAGTGGGGAATGACGTGCGGGAAAGGAGCCACAGGTCGGATTTGAACCATGGGCTGCCGGCTTGGTGGTCTATAGCCTCCATACGTGGGGCGCTTGCACTAACAACTGCGCCACCTGCGCCCCATGTATCCCATCTTTAACAGCGGGGGGTTGAGTAATGAAGTCATCCACAATCAAGTATGCATTTAACAGAATGTTATTAAGTATAGCCATGATGCTTTTCCTTCTCGCAATGCCGCTGATTTCATCATAAACTTTTCACTGGAACAAGTCATGATGTCACTGTAATCATCGACCATCAAAGCATAGAGGCAGATGTAACCCGAGTGTTCAGGTAGGGAATAACAAATCAGGAGACAGTATGTGGGTTCTGGTTCTTGACTTTCAGCCACTGTAGTCACAGATAGACAGAAACTCATGAGCTGTGTGTGTCGGGGTTCTGCAGCAAGCATCTCCCCTGATAGAAAAAAGGTGAATCATTAATGAGGGATGATGGGGCTTCTCACCTAGCACCTTTTATTTGAAAATTAAATACAGGCAAGCAACATCCACTTGACAGTATACAATTTAACAAACAACAACAAAAAACAAACAAACAAGCAGAATTAATCTGACAGTTAGACAGAGAAAAACAAATTAGACTAAATTAAATTATTAGGATCCCTTCAGTAGTCATAAATTCAATCCCAGTACAGTTTACATACAACTCTACATGGCATGCAGAGCTTGCCCCAACCCCCCCAGTCAATCCACAGCAACTGATCCAAGTGCAACTGATGCAATGTATATAGGACTTGTAGCCATGGCTAATTTACACTCCTTTTCCCTGCTTAGGCTTTTTGGAAATAAAACATGATACAACAACACTGTAAAAAAGACATCAAAACTGACGATTGCAGCAGAAATAGATAAGCTAGTGAACCACATTTTATGTTTTTTTATGAAAGACTGAACATCCAACCTCAAATTAAACACATATCATCCAGACTAAATCCCAATAAAAACTTTCCTGCACTGGAAATGTTCAGATCTCTGCAGATTTGAGCCGCTCACTAACTTTCATCAAATACGCTGTAGATACAAAAATCTTGAAATCTGAAGTGAATTATTGGCAGATTTAACATGTAAGATGCGATGCTTTGCTACACACCAAGGTCCTGCATCCCCCTGTGGGGGTTTATTTCTGCTGTAATGCCCCCCTCCTCACTGAACATTATTATTCTTATTACACAGCTACTTTGGAAAGGAATCAATAATTAAACACAGAATATTCATCTGAAAAGGATGATTTTGATTCTCCCTCCCGATTCTGCTTTCTCACTGGGAATGGTGCAAGAAGCTGTTCTTTTTTTAGGTTTCAGATTTCTACGAGTCCTATATAGTCAATTTTTTACAAATGTCACACAAGCATCTATTTAAACTGGGCAAATGAACAACTGTGTTTAATGGTAATTGGGGTCATCACTTTATGGTATGTGACCATAGGCACAATTTGGGGGGGGGGATTCTTTGTCATTCTTTTAAATAAGAACTGTTTCACATGTGTTGCAAGTTATCCGATTCTGCACCTCAACCGTGTAAAAAAACTCCTGACTAATGCTGCATAATGTGAATTCAAATATCAATCTGAGTGGATGATTAAATCATTCTCTCAAATTACAGATCAGAGATTTCAGATATCTGTGCAGTGCGGATCTATAAATAACAATTGCTGACAGTCTATGACCTCTCACTGACTTTGTGTGCGAGATGTAAATGAACAGAAAACATGTTAAATATTTAAAAGCTTCAATATGGTGTCATCTGCTCTCGCTGCGCAACATGCTTTGAGTGCCTCATAGCTTGCAGAGCTGCAGACTGAGGCTTCATTTGTGATTAAAGCTTGCTTGATTCGACAGTGAAAGAATACACAGGAAACACAAAGGCATCGCAGTGTATCAGCCTGCGTGAGAGTTAGCTTTCAGTACTTTGTATGACTAGAAAGAGTGAGTGTCATTATGAATGTGTTGGAAAAAGTCAGGAGAGAAAATAGCTCTATAGGCGCCTACAGTCTGGCCAACAATCCTTCTCCCCTGGTCAGCAGCTGAGTCTCCATGGATACAGGTCTCACTATTGTGTGTGGTTCACACTTGGCAATTTAAGAGTATGCTACTTTATGCTCCAAGGAAAATGGACATCTTTGTTCCTTTGATACACTGCTGACATGTTCACTAATTATACCTGTGGAGGTGCTGACAATTATATCTCCTCTCTTATGTATGGCTCATTTAATGCTGGTGTGAACATGTGTTTGCGTCACACAAGTTCAGCTTCTTCTATTTTTAAAATCTGGCCTGAATGTTCTCTTCTGCAGCCTCTGGTTGCTTGATCTCTGAACAACAGTTAGTGAAAAACTTGAAAATAGTTTCTGAAGCCATCTCAGCCGACATTACATTCAAGGTAAATAATTCAATAATAATATTTTAGTAAATACTCCCCTTTTTACCATAAGCACTAAACAAACATCAGGCTGTCTTTAAAGGGTCTAGAAGTAATAGGTTTAGAATAGGCAGATTTGAATCCACATTTCTATCTGTCAGTGTTAGAAACGTAGTGTGAAAACCGCCTGCAGGCATTACAGATACTCTCTGTGACTCTGGGGCGCAGCTGCAAAATCTGTTGTTCTTCTGGCACCAGCATCCTCATTGGACTCAGTTGGTGGATGCGAGAACAACAGCTGGGATTTTTATACTCTGCTTTTTTAAGGGTTTAGCAAACTAGCTGCAAAAGTACGCTATCAAGGGAACCAGGGCTTCCTAAAAACAGGGATTCAGAGGATATAAACTACAAGGATGCAGTTCAGTTTCTTGGTTGACTGGTTAGTCAGTAAGTTTATTCAAGACAACATTACTTCTCAGATATCAAGAGATCATGTGCAGCGTTTCCCCTAGGTTTACAGCGTTGGGGGGGGGACATGCTGACATGCTGACTTGAAGGAATCTTGGTGTTCATGTGTTACTTTTAATGACAGATGTCCTTTTCTATCGGAAAGGTATCCTTAAATGACTTCTTCCCCTGATTTCCGACTCTATCCACTATCAGATCTCTACAATAAAGGCACAAAAAGCCCAAAAATAAATCTTTAATATATATAATGGTAGGGGAAACACTGATGTGCATTGCAGCATTGCATCTTTTCACACGTAGGCACTATACCGACATGAGAACTCAGCCGTCTCTGTCAATACAACACAGAGTGGAGACTTTATTGCTCATTATTTATTGCTTATTGATTATTTGTTTTACTCTGTTTACCATCATCACTGATTGGACATCCTCAGAAAATTGTACATCAGTATTGCAACCTTAGATATGCCCTGAAACAGGAGTGGACAATTTAACCACTGAAACCTAAATTTGTCTTTCTAAAAGCAGCAGAGCAGATTGAGCCATGCTCTGAAAAACCACGCTCACTGGAGGGGAAACATTTGGCAGAATAATATGCAGCCACGTGCTGAAAGACTGACTAAATGCAAAGCTAAAAACACAAGTTAACAGCATGTCAGCGGATTGATCGAGGTAAAAAGGTGTATAGACAAACTCCATATTGTCTCTCTGTCTTCGTGTTTACTTTCCTGTCATTGCTTTCTTTGAAGAAGTCATCCCACTGAGTGATCAGAAGTTAAATACTTTGATGTTTACATTTATTTGATGGAAACTCAAGATCCAATCATTTAACCAAACCGACATCCCTAACCAGGCTGTGTAACCTTTAGTGTTTGTTTGACCAATTTACAAAGTGTCAGAGTTCAACAGTTTTCCTCTCTTTCTTGAAAATGTTCTCGTTGTTTAAAATCTCTTTTTTCCTGTAGACGTGCTTATAAAAACTCAGATCTGGGTTGCATTCTTTATCCTGTTGGTAGTGCACCCTACCACAGTCAGCCTTTTGATTTCCTTTAATGGCGAATGAAAGCGAGGAAGAAGCACTTTCACACAGCACAAATAATTGGATAGCCTTGAATTGTTTTCTCTTGCGGAGGGGGCGGGACTTGTTTAGTGATCTACTTTCCAAAGACATGACCACAATGCTTTTAAGCTACCTCAAACATGCAGGGAAACTAGGAATATTCATCTATTTTATGCAATGCAGTAACAGTGGCTGATGCATTACCCTGGCTGATGTGCTCAAAAGCATTTCGAGTAATTTTCTACCTCTGTTTATATAAAGTGGATAAATCTGTTCAAACAGCAGCAAATGCACGGATATCTGCCTCGGGCGAAGGATGTCAAGATAAAGAGAGGGAGAGAGAGAGAGAGTGGAAAGGGAAGAAGCAGAGCGATGTAACTTACATAGACAGAGCAAGTGAAACAGC